GGGTAGTTCCCAGCAGTGTATGTCATTTCCAAGTTGTGGTCAAGAGAGTCTGACCATGGTAGACCAAAACAAAAAGAGAAATATAATGATAAAAGTAGTTAGTGGGAGACAAAAGGATGGCAGAAGACTTTTTTTTTTCCTAGCTCTCCCATGTTATGTAGTGCTATCTCCTCGTCCCCACCCCGCCATCACCAACAGGCCCCCCCGGTGAATATTTAAGCTGTGGGGGAGGGGGGAGGACAGAAGGGGAGGGGTGCTTAAAAGGGGAGGGCGAGCAGAAACAGGGGACAAACAGCATACGAAGGGCAATAGGGGGACTGGACCCATCTCGGGTAACAGGTTTAGGAAGAAACATATTGGCATATACATCATAAGTCAGAGAACCTTACATATATTGGGACATCATGATTTATCCAGCGTCCGTAATGTAGAGGGAGGGGATTTCACAGCCTTTCTGCTCCCCCAATACAGTGCACCCTGGAAGCAGTTGTTTGCATAGCCTCTGTGGCGGATTAAATTGCGATCCTGATGAGCGGATACTGTTTTTTATTGAAGTGTAGCCATGCTTCTCGTCGGAGTCTGGGCTGGTGGTCTGTTGTTAGGGTCAGTTCTCCTTTTCTTGGAAGCCTGCTGCCACCGCTGTCTTTGCGGTAGATGTGGTGCTTGGGAAGGTTGGACCGGACCTTACCAGTCGGAAATCCTGACAGCCTGGAGGAATGAGGGCACGTCCTTCACACTGTGCATAGTGTGTGTGGATTCTTTATAAGTTGCACTAAGGGTGTAAGAAAAATCCCCAGCAATATTGCAGGTTCCTTGCACTGAGATGATCTGTAATGGGTTTTAGGACCCTGCAGGCCTGCAGAGTCATCCAAGAGCAGTCAGGGTAAATCACAATCTGGTTGCCATGGTAAAGCAGTGGCTGTGTGGCTTGTCTCAGTGTGCAGAGGATATCCTCCTTACAGGCAAAATAATGCATACAATGTCTCTTGGCCTCTCAGTCGGTGCGCCTCATGGTCACAGAGCCCTGTGTGCTGTGTCAAGCAAGATAGGCAACTCTGAGAGTCTTTTCAGTATTAGGTTAAAGCGATCAAGAAAGGTGACAAAGTGATTCTTTTGTTCGTTTTCTGGGAAGCCTTTAATCCACTGATTGTTCCTCCTCACTCGATTTCCGAGGTCGTCGAGGGATCTTTGAAGCACGGAAAAGTAGTCAGAGGGAGTATCAAAAAGTGTTTGCAGGTGTTGTACCTGAATGTTGGTAATGTCCCTATTGTCTCCCAGGGAGCTCACCCTATCTCCCATGTTGCGTATATATCTGCTCCAATTGTGTCAAGCTTGACTGGAAGGAGGCCTCTTGTTTGCCCAGCATAGTTGCCAGATCCAGCTTTGAAGACTTCCCTGATTTCCCTGAGGTCAGTATCTAGTGGGGAGGCAGGGTGGTCCGAGTCTCCAGGGCTGGACGGTGAGAACCGCGAGTCCAGCGCCATTTGGGGCCTAGCATGCAGGAGTGCGATTCTGGGTTATCATGGAAAAATTTGGTGAGGGTTCCTGATTTGCTGGCAGGGGTTTTGCACGATGAATGTTGGGCTGATGTAGCTCATTTGGAATGTCTAGGATTGGACAGTCACAGAAAGCCTGGGCTCCACACAGAATGAGCTTGCATCTTGTGGAAATCTTGCTAAGTCGTGGGCCATTTAAGGCTTTTCCCATGCTATGCAATTTCAGTCAGAGCGCTTTCTCATGCTGTGCAATTGAACAATTGTGACTTTTCCCATGTTATGTAATTTTAGTCACAGCTCTCTGATTGGTCAGTTGCACAACATGGGAAAGGTTTCAGAGAGCCTTATGAAGAAGAGAGATGTTACACAATTAGCACCAGAGGACCACTGATCTTTCTATAGTGTGGTGATTCCTGGTGTTAGGCCAGGACACTTAGGACTTGCTGGATGTACTCTTATATAGACAGAATCATTTGAATAGTGCAACATTTACATTCTCCCTATGGAGGGCACCAGGTAAAATTTTGAGCAATACTTGGGCATATGTACATTACTCCAACAGCTTTGTTTTTCTTATTTTAAGTAGCACACTTGAGCTTTATTTGATAGCTTAGTATCTATTTAACTCTCTTTATAAAACCTGTAGGATTAAACCACATTTTAAAAGGACACGATTTAAAAGAAAGATCCCTTTGTCACTACCTCAAAAGGAAAGTGTTCTAAAACAAAAGTCATTATTAATATTTATTACAATTATTTTATCAGTAGTGCTTATCACCGACTGTAGCCAACAGTACAAAATATTAATCCCTCCAATGTTCCAAATTCCTACTTTGTTTTTTGATTTGTTAAAATAGTATAATTAATTTTTTAACTTTTACATATAAAAGAATATTACAATATTATGGAATTAAATGCAATACTCATAACTTGATTACTTTTTGATGTGTTAACACTATTTTATGTTATCTGGTTAACTGATGTTGATATTACTATAAAACTCAATGAAATTTAAATTTGATGAAGTTATTGAACATTAGAAGTTATTATGGTTGGGAAAAAAGTGAATTCAGGGTATTTTTACAAAATTTTGGACATAATTGAAAACATAGGAGTCTTGGAGAATTATTTCAGTTTTGATAATATATCCTAAAATTTTAAAATCTATTTCAATTCACTTTGAATTCTTGATAGTTCAGTTCACAACTGGATGAATTATGCTCACTTACAGTTGTGAATAGTTGTAATATGAAGGCTAATCTAGATAAAAGCTGACAAACTGAGCCTCGTCACGTGTTCTTGGAGGGGCCTGCTGGCCAGCCTCTTACCAAAAGACTATGGGCTCTTTAAAAAAAACTAGCAATTTCCATCGCAGTGTTCTAAGTGTTCGTCTGGGTGGCCACGATTCCTATGGACGACCACGAGGTGGTGGCCATCTTGCTCGCATGAACACAGGCAGCAGTGTTTGGGCATGAATCTCATGGAACTGAACACAGAAACTCCCGAACACCACTGGAATTCCAGCATCGCCTGCGGACGGTTCCACAACACTTGGAAAAATGCTGTTCGGTGGAAACATTCCCACAAACAAGGGGATCAAGCTCCAGGGTAATAAGACTATTGACTCTGTTCAGTAGTTTGCTTATTTTTAAACTACTGAACTAGACTGACCGCAAGCCCTGATTATCTGGAACTGTTTTGAGCATGGGACCATGCAGGTGGTCGATCAGAGTTGGGACTTCCAGGAAATTCCTGAATCCCTGAACTGATCTGGGTGAGTTTTGGATATGTTGGTCACCCAGATCATTGCTATCAAGGGATGTAACTTTTGTGGGGGATTGTGTGTTTTAGGGTATTTTTGGTGGGGTATATAAAAATTTAAGTTTTTTTCTGTGCTTGGAGATAATTGTATTAGATTAGTACAGTTCCTGATCCAATTGTCTCCCAGGCACAAAGGAGAGATTATCTGATTTTGTCTGGGAGTGTCCTGGACCTGAGAGCCAATGCGATTGTGTATTTATTTTTACTGTGGTTTACTTTCGGGTCCAGGGGGGAGTGCCTCTTGCATGGGGATTGTCATAAAAGGCCAGTTGTGGCTACCCTTAAACTCATTTTACCCTTCATGAAGTCTAGGCTCATGTTTGGGGGATTGGAGAGTCATATTCACACTCGGGGGATTGCTATAATCACTATACTCCCTTGGATCACAACACTTGCTCTTATAAGAGCAACCTGTTTCGCTCTCTGGACTAGGAGAGGTCTACCCACTGGAAGCCTGATCCTGGTCTTGGGTCCAGAGTGGGTGGAGGACAGCGAGACCCCAACCAAGCTGCGGCGGCTTGTGGGGTTTAAGGTAGTTATTGTGTTCCAGTGCAGTGCTTATGGTGCCCGCAAGTACTAGGAAGCAGCGATTGACGGAGGTACCCGGTCAGGGTGCCAGGCCGTCCGTCACAAAAGGTATCATATTTTATTAGAAATACATGGAATATTGATCATGAAGATGGAGATTATCTAAATGTAACAACAACATGTCTTAAATCTTCCATGTAGAAATATATCTTTGAGATAAGAATGTCATATAGACGCAGCAACAGCAGCTAATTTAACCTAACAGATGAATAAAATCTCACATACTGTTACGGGTATGTTAAAAATAATAAGCTGTCATATATTGATATCTAATAGGTAGAGAGATGTATAAATCTTCATTGCTGATGACAAAAGATAAGATTATTATGGCTATTTGAGGCAAATCGTGACATCTAAAAGATATGCCATGTTTTGACTATTTGCTATTTTTTGCAAAATGCTGTGACACATTAAATAAAAGCACGTTTATTTGATCAGATCTTACACAGTTCATAATGCATCGTGAAAGATAGATATGGTCGCAGGCTATATGATTAGAAGGATTTGGAAAGCACACAGTAAAAAGAGTTACATTTTTAAAACTTGACTCACCAAGCACATTTAATTTATAGCATAGCACACGTATGTTACTGTCAAATCTAGAACCTCCGAAGTGTTTGATGTACCCTTACATGTACTTTAAAGGGACACACTAAGTACATAAACAGAATAAGTTACTCTCTGCATCAATTGACTGGATGCATTCATTGTCTTGCATCCGATCCCTATATAAAGTATAGTATGCAGAATAACAAAAAAGCAGCAATTTAAAAAATAAATAGTAAAGAAAAAATAACGCCACAAGGATGCACATTCGCAAAATACTGTTCCTTTTTTAATTATGTATTATGTATTTAAGTACTCCTATCAACTGGCCATAGATGGGAGCAGGTGAAAGACAGTAGTCTGTCCACCCCCATAATTTTTTTACAATAATTTTTACACTTTTCAATGTGGATTCTGGTTACCAAGTGCTTGCCAGTAGAGATGTCGCGAACCGTCCGCAAACTTCTCGCGAACGGTCAGCTGACACGTCCCGGCCAATCTCCAGAAGACCCTCCCTTCCAGACCCTCCTACTTCCTGGACAGCATCCATGTTTCAACAAAATCTCCAGAAGACCCTCCCTCCCAGACCCTCCTACTTCCTGGACAGCATCCATGTTTCAACATGGATGCTGTCCAGGAAGTAGGAGGGTCTGGGAGGGAGGGTCTGCTGGAGATTGGCCGGGGCGTGTCAGCTGACCGGAGTTCACCGCGAACAGCTCATGGCGAACCGCGGCGAACCGTTCGCGAGAAGCTCGCGGACGGTTCGCGACATCTCTACTGGCAAGCAACCACATAATTAACTGTCTTGCTGCCTAGGGTTTTTAACTATTTGCCTGCTGGCTGCTGGCACTGCCAGTGGGCTATAGTTTAGATTTTTTAAATCCGGGTCCAGGTTTAAACAGTACAGGTCTGGATTAATGCCATCAGGCACAGTTCAGTCCAGCTGAAATCTGGACCTTTTTCAGGCTCATTCTGAGACATTTTTAATTTGATTTACATAATTTCTAGTTTTAAATACTACACTATTGTGTTCCTGTGTTTTTTCTTTCTTTATTGCATATACCCTAATGAGGACTATTAGGCGCTTCACCTCCCCCCGTTTTCATTTGGAGATTGTTAAATATGAACAATGATGGGGATTTTGCATTCTAAATGGCCCTGGATGGTTTGACCTCATTTGGTCCTGTACTATTTGAATCTTAGTGAATAATCCTGAAAGCTATAAAGTTTTAAACAAGGTTTTGTTTTTGTTATAATATAATTCTTAAAATGTATTTATTTTTGTTATACTTGTAATATCAGGGAATACACTGCCCATTTTGTACTTGCACATTTTCACATATTTTCTTTATTTCACAATATATTTTTAGGTTGAATTCTAACTCTTATCATCATCAGTATCACCATTATCATTATAATGTGTGTAATGTTAAGACTAACAAAGTGAAAAACTAGAATAAAAGAAGCATTTTTATATGATTTATGTAAAAACTATGTATGCGTGCTTTCATAAAAATTTGATTCCTATGGTAAATAGCATATAATAAAGCCCATTTGGTAGCTTTGGAGAAACTCAACATGCTTCCAACGCATTTAACTTTTTAATTACTCAGAACTACAGTTTCTAAACAGTCAGTCATGTGAAATATTGTTAGAATTTTACAGCAAGACAGGAGGCTTTATATTTGCTTTACCTTCATTACCGAAATCTCCAGCAGATAAAGAAACAGTTAATCAATTGTAAAATATCAGCAAAACATAAATTATTATAAACATATAATACTCTCAACAAGGCTCTCACTTTTCCTCTTTCTTTGCTGTTGCCACCAAGTGAACATTCCCCAAGAGTGTGTCTGCTCTGGGTTACTGTTTGCGATTTATTGCGGTGATTATTGTTTTACAATATTTTCAATTTTTGGGCTTTATTGAGCCCACGCGTTCCTTTGCCCCTTCTCACATTTGCCTCTCCCTTCTGTGCCTCGACACCATTCGCTCTTTTGACCTTCCCCACTGAACATGCACTTAGTGTTGCCCGGCCATGTGGTAGGTCATGGCCTGTTGCTGCTTTACTGCCATGGCCTTTTTCTTGGATCCATGCCGCTCCCTTGTTTTCTCCATTGTGCTCTTGCCCTCATGGGCCCCTCCCTGTGATTGTGCTCAGGTTGCTGGCAGTGTTTTCAGTTTTTATTTTTTTCCTTTTTGTTCCAACTTTAGGGTATTGGCTATTACTTTGCCCACTGGGCCTTGTGTTCATACCCAGCCTATTAGGATCCTGCATTGCTCAGTGATACCATATCTGTCAATCACTGTCTGGGTGAACCCCACCAATCAAAGTGGTAATAGGCTCTGGCCTTGATTGTGATAGCATCCCATGATTTTACTTGATGTGTGCACTTTACTCCCCCCCCCCCTTCCTCCACATTCCCTCCCTGATCTGAGGGCCTACTGACACCTTTTAGGGCCTACTGACATTGCTTACTTGTCCCCCTTGTATGAACTGGGTTACCCATGCCTGCCCTGTTCCATTCTGACCTCTGTGTTGTATGTTTTTCAGTTATTAACTGAAATGGCCAAGGAAGCAGATTATGCTGTGCCCGGGACTCCAGTCCTGGTTGTGTTTGGTCATGGCCAACTCTGTCCCCAAAACCATGGCTGCTTATCAGGGTTTCACACCTCCCACTGCTACCACGCAATCCTCTACTCTCACTCTTAGACCTAGGGGCTCTAACTTGGGCAGGTCTAATTGCTCCATGGAGACAGACTCTACACACGAACACACTTGGAAGTTAGCATTTTGGCTAACACAAAGCCGTTCAAAGTGGCAAACATGGGCTCTGCGTCGGCTGACCACCCGAATGAGGATGTCCACAGTGGAAAATGTGGGATGGTGGATGCTGGCAGTGCTGGAGTGGATTTGGGATGAACCTCGATTATCAGGCATCCCAATATGTGAGAGAGACTGTGATTGGAGAGTCGAATTTGACTTGATTTGCGGATTTGACTTCCAATGAGTTGGGTCCGAATGCCAAGGGTCTCCTATTCAGGGAATTCATGAAGGAGCTGAATCATCATGTCTCCATCTACACATCCCTCAGTAAGGCACAGCTCTTGCTCAGAAAGGTCTTACACTCCAGGGCTGGTTGGCTGCAGTGCCGCGCCACCAACAGAGACACGTCTCTCAGACTCAATTAACTCATCCTCCTACTGGTCCTGCATCGTATTAAATTTTATATACTGTACATTCGATTTTCCTTTAAATCCAATATAATCATACATTATCAAATATAATCAATCTACAATATTACAAGGCTTCCCTTTTATCTCTGGACCAATGACATATCCATGTTTCCCAAACTTTCAGATACGTATCTTTATCTCCTCTAGCAGACCAATGCAGATCTTCCACAGAGTTTGTGATAATATAGATTGTGTAACAAAAAGATACCGTGATTTTTTTTTCAAAGTCTACAAGAGGAGGTATAGTATCTCCTTTAAGTAAACTTCCTACTGTAGTATATTCTCCTTCTATGAGGTGATAAAGAGTCCCTGCTCCCTGTTTATTTTGAAAATCTGGATTGTCCTTTAATGGGCACAAGGAAGATATACGGTGGGACAAATGCCACTTCACTTTGAATTGTCTTAATTTTTGAAGAATATTCATGATTAAGGGATGAGAATGATTTGAGTAATGAACATATTGAACTCATCTTCCACGGTAATGTTTGTAAAAGTACACTTACAAAACTCTGTTCCACAGCAAACCAAAACGTAAAAAAAAAAAAAAAAAAAAAAGACGTGCCCATTCAAATAAAGTAGCCAAATAGTCATGAAACATATGTGGGAGATCCATCCCTCCTCCTCTTATATGCAATTCGGGGATGCTTAGAATGCCCCACATAAGATAAAAATAAATGTTTCAGTTGAGAAAAATTAGGAATAGAAAAACATAAAGTGTCTTAGGTAGGGCTATCACTTTAAGGACATTTATTCTTCCCAACAGAGACAAATTTGAATAATTCAAAACCTCTTAGTCTCTTTTAACATTTTCCAATAAAGTCACATAATTAACTTTGTACAAGCTAGAGTAAGTTCAGGTTAGAAATTATTATGATATTATTTATATAGCGCCATCAGATTCCGTAGCGCTGTACAAAGGGTGGACTAACAGTCATTTAATTGTAACCAGACAACTCAACGTACAGGAACAGAGAGGTGGAGGGCCCTGCTCAATGAGCTTACATTCTAGAGGGAGTGGGGCAGGGATGTATTTACCACAAGCCAAACAAGGCATTTGCCTAAGGCGGCACTTTCAGGAGGGACGCCAAAAAACGACACCCCAAGCTCCCAGACAAATGCCTTGTTTGCCTCATGTTCTGGGGCTGTCTACCTTACTGTGAGTGAGTGAGTCAGTGTAGCTGTCAGTGTGTGTCTGTGAGTGAGTGTCTTTCAGTGAGAATGGGTGTGCCTGTGAGTGTGTGTCAGTGTGTGTATGTCATTTTATGTGTATCTGAGAGTGTGTGCCTGTCAGTGTGTGTCTGTCAGTGAAAGTGTGTGTTGGTTAAACAGTGTGTGCAATGACTGTGTATCTGTAAGTGAGTGTATATCAGTGCATGTATCAATGAAGGCATGTGTCTGTCAGTCAAAAAAGTGCCCTTGAAACGAATTGGGGGGGCAAATTTAGATTTTGGGGGTGCCCGAATTTAGTCGGGCCTAGGGCAGAACAAATCCAAAATACACCACTGGAGTGGAGTATAGTGACACAAGGGTAAGAGTAGGGGTACAAAGTAAACAAACCTTAATATTTCATTCTTTTTTTTTAGGCTATTGAAACCCGAATCCTTGAGTAATGCTGTTTCTAACATGCACGGGAATCCCTATTCCTAGTATTTCACATTTATCCGTATTAACTTTATAACTGGAAAAAGAACTAAAAATGTCTAATTCCTTCATAATATATTGAATAATCTGGGCAGTCTTGCTTACTGACAATAGAACATCATCCAGAAATGCAGAAATCTTTGCCTCTCCCTCTGATTATTGATATCCCTGCATATCAGGGATTAATTCATATCACTTGGAGAAATAGATCAGTACAAACGTAAATAAAAAGGGATAACGGGCAGCCCTGTCAGGTTCCATTCTTAATCTCCAAAGGTGGAACGTTTTGATTGTTAACTCTAACGGTGGCAGATGGCTCTATATATAAAGTTATAACCTAATTTAAATACTTCATCCCAAACCCTAGTGTCTCTAATGTTGCAAATAAGTAAGACCAGTCCATTCTGTCAAACGCCATTTCAGTGTCAATGGAAATAAAGCAAAAGAAGGTTTGGTCAAGGCTGTCTTGTGCAGGAGGTTTAAGATTTTTGTCATATTATCTATTGACCCTATGTCATTGACAAACCCCACCCTGATCAAAGTTGACTAGTCCAGGCAATAAGGAGAATCAACCTTTCAGACATAATACTTTTGGCCTCATTCACATGCTTCATTTGTTTTTGTTTAAGGATGTTAATGCAAATTTGAAGCCTCTGGACTTGCTTTAAAATTAAGGATTATTCTAATCTTGGTGAACGAACACTATATTTTATTAAAGACAGGAGGCGAATATTTCGCACCCCTGTTTTTGTCTTTATTCTGCTTTCCTCACCCTTTTTTTCTTTGTCTTATTTATGCTCATGTTTAGT